TACGATAAATCATTTTCAAATGCACTCATACTGAACCGTTAAAATATGACATAAGTTCGACATCAGTTTTATCAACTGAGACCACATTCCAAGGAGAACGATCTTGAGAATATGATGATTAAGAAAGTCTTAAAGAAAATAAACGTTACTATCTATATAACCAAGATGCATATTTCTTTTCGGTTTCTCAATCATAAGAACTTCATGGTTAATCATGGTTTACTTGGAACAATTCTATATTGGGTGACCTCCTAGGAATTTTCCTAGGATGCATGTGAGTAAAGACAAAACATGTTTCCTAGGGATGCATGTGAGTAAAGACAAAACATGTTAGAAGGATTCGTGTTGGTCCGTGAAAATAGTCTAAAACATGTTAGAAGGATTCGTGTTGGTCTGTGAGAATAGTCTTCACTCTTAAGAAGAAAGGAGTAGGTAACGTGACCATGTAGCAGGAGACAATACCATAGCATTACCTTATATCTTGGTTCTAAACAATCATATCCATTAGAATCTTATAAGGTCCATCCAATTGTTTGATTCACGTTGTCATAAACGACCATGAATGCTTATCTAGGCTTGGGTCATCTCGTCCCAATGCAACGTTGTGTTTGTTGCAGCTAGAACAATTTTTATATATATCCGTGAATTTTTTTTTATATATAACAACTTATTAGTTATTACACATGTAATGTATTATTTAAATAAATAAGGTTAGAACATTAATTAGATTTAGATTGCACAAGAGTAAATCTTTCTCCATAGAAACTCAATTTAGCTATTTATATGAAACCAAACGAAAATGGGCTGAGTAAAAAAAAAAGTGATTAAATTAAACTTCAAAGAAAATGAAGTATCAAAACATCTTTTGTTTCATTATATTGCTTACTTTTGAATCAAACATGATTATTAACTCATGTTTTGCACAATCCGAATCCAAATACCAACGCCCATTGTCTCCATGGGAAGTGGCTATTGTGAATCACATGAAGAATTTCATTATGTTAGTTCATTGCAAGTCGAAAAACGATGATTTAGGTGAACATGTGATCCAACCTTGATGCCAATATTATTGGAGGTTCAGTGAAAATTTATGGCAAACAACACTATTTTGGTGCAATTTCAATAGCAAACATGGGCAGACTTCTGGTGAAGTGTTTTGGCCAGATAAAGGAGATTGGCTTAGTGATCGATGTGATTGTAATACTTGCATTTGGGTTGCGAGAGATGATGGCATTTCCTTACGTCTTGGTTCGCTTGATTCATATCAATTAATATACCCTTGGAAATGATTTTACCGAACACAACTGTCCATCCAAACATAATACTTTAGCAATGACGACCTTTATTAGTTCTTTAAATGTCATGTCAAACATGTTGATAATAATTAAAATAAAACTCAAAGATCGTTGTTTTTTTTTTCCTTATAATTAAATGACACATTAACTTCATGAAGTTAAAAATGGTTCAAATAAGAAACATAATATACATATATTTTTTTTAGTCTATAAACTTTAGTCCCTGAACATCACTTTATTGGTTGAAATAGAATCAATCATAAATTTGATTCTATTTCAACCAGTAAAGTGATGTTTGGTCATGATATGCTATGACATGCTAAGAAATATTTTGAATAAAGAAAAGCTACAAAGTACAACCACATGCTATGATTTTAAAGTTATGTTATGAATGAAACGGTTTATGGAAGTTTAAATATGTATGTTAATGAGTGTAATATGTGAGGAAAGAATAGGAGTTGTCTTGGTAAGTATTTTAGCATATGGAAAATTGGTTTAGTGATCAATGTTATAATGTAATTGAGCTTCATTGGATTGATTGCATTTCCTTACGTCTTTGTGTACATAAACATCGAGTTACTTCCCCTTTACGATGATGAGTATGGACGCATGCGCTATGATGATTATGGTGATATTGCCGTGCATGACACTCAGGGGTCTGTGACCTCCAGAGGTCGCAACGGACAGCTAGCTCGACTATGATGGGTCCAAGGGTGGTGTGAACCGCTTGAGTATCCATGCTTGCACGTGTGGGTCATGTGTAGGGAAGTACTACACATCCAATTTTGTCGGAGCTGGAGGCCACCCCTATTATGGTTCTAACGATAGGTCCTTAGATCATGAGTTGCATGTGTTTGCATTCTCTGAACGCAACAGTGTGAGTCACTTGTTGAGTATTTCTTAAAATAATCAAATCAAGTGCAATTTCTATTTCAGGTAAAGGCAAGAAATCTCTGTATATCTCTGTATGCCTGACAATGAAATCGAAATTCAAGACCATGACACATGTATAAAGTAGTACTTATTTTCTTAGACTTAGGTTAGAATATGGCGTTTTTAATTTTAACGCTTATTTATTTCATTTAGTGTTTCGTTGTGTTGTTTTAAAAATATTTTCGAACACGTAAGTCTATGACAGTGTTTTACAATGAAATTTAAGTTTTATGACAAAGTTTAAAGCTTATTTTCGCACCAAATAATTACGTTATGATGACGGTAACGACTCTAGGTAAGTAGAAATCTAAGGTCGTTACAGGTTTGGTTCATCAACTTTTGGTAACTAGTTCTCCAAATTTATATAATTGACAACAATAAACACAACATATCAACTTTCGAGCCTCCGTCAAACTTTTCTCAGTTTGAATTTCCAAACATGAAATTTGATTGAGTTTCCAAATATGAAAAATAGTAAGTGCATAGACTCATGAAATTTCGTCGAGTTCTCAAACACGACAACTATATGATTTGAAATGGTTTGAAATCTAGATTCACCGTGAACTCATTTTCTCCATCAATTACTTTGTATTCAACCTTGCTAATAGGATCAACTTGAAAAAATAAAACCATAATCAACCAAATAGGATTAAGAACCACTTTTGTGTCTAGATAATGTACAAGAACGGAAGGCATGAAAATAATTAAGAACTCTCATAAGCTTTCTTTTTGTTTGAATTCGATATGCTAACGCAAGCCACCACTGTGTCCTTTCAAATATGTCCTAATTGATCAAAATGGTTGATCCAAGAATGAATTTGTATTGTGGTTTTGTTGCTTGTTTTTGCATCCGTCATTAGCAACAACATGTTGTTATCGATTAGATTTAGTTCCTTCGAATTCTCATCTCAATGTAACAATTTTTATACATATCTATGTAAAAACTTCCTATATATAACACCTTATTAGTTATTACATATGTAATGTATATATTTAAATAAATAAGGTTAGAAAATTAACCGGATTTAAATTGTACAACCTGTGAATCTTTATTGTATACTAATTTGATTTCACGATACATATATGAAACAAAACAAAATGGATTTGTGAAAAAAAAAGTGTTCATATTAAACTCCAAAAAAAAAAATGAAACCTCAAAACATCCTATGTATCATCATATTGATTGCAAACATGATTATTAACTCATGTTTTGCACAATCTGATACCAAATACGAGCACCCATTGTCTCCATGACGAATGGTTATTTTGAATCACAGGAAAGATTCTCCTCTGTTAGCTCATTGTAAGTCGAAAGATGACGATTTAGGTAAGCATGTGATCCAGCTTTGGGGAAAATACGACTGGATGTTTAATGAAATTTTTTGGCAAACAACACTATTTTGGTGCTATTTTAGCAGCAAACATGGGACACTTCTGGTCAAGTGTTTTGGCCAGAAAATGGAAGCTGACTTAGTGATCGATGTGAAAGTAATACCTGCCAGTGGGCTGCAGGAGACAATGGCATTTCCTTACGTTATGGTTCACTCGATTCATATAAATTAATATACCCTTGGAAATGATCTTACTCAACCTTCATTGAGTTGATTTCAACTTGAACACTGCTGTCGATCCAAACATAACTCTTTACGAATGATAACTCATATTAGTTCTTTAAATGTCAATCCAAGCATATTGATGATAATAAAAATAAAACTTAACGTAGTTGTAAAAAATACGATATAGGATTTAGGGTTTAGACGTTTTTTAAAATCGTGAGACGATGATGATACATAACACGACAAAACGAAAAACGTCTACTAGCGATTGACTTAAGATGTCACGTTAAAAAATTCAATTAAGTCTCAGAACTTTGACAATAAGTATAATAACCCAAAATTAGATGAAGAAAAAATAAATGAAAGTTGTCCTCCATCAGTTATGTTGAGAAAGTGGGGAGATGGACTACTATAAAATCGAGGTCTCTTGCTTTCTTTCATCCCACTTGAACGGTTTGAAGCGTATGGGAGAGTACACTCCCTGCATTAAAATTAAATTTTGTAAATTAATAATATATTTATCTCTTTGGGATTTATTAAGATTAAAATAGGTAAAAATATGACCCCTTTTAAAAAATAAAAATAAAATACGACTTCGTTGACATTTATATAATCATGATTAATGGTTTCACACGAGACTTAATTAATTGTTTATTTTGTTTTTTTGTTTGTTTTTTTTTTCCTCAAAAGTCTACATCGGATAACATTTAATATATTCAACTAAATTGGTTCAATTTACCTATTAATTATATGTTGATTTCCTTTTAATATTTTAAAATAATCGAATTCATTAGGATAGTTGAAAAGTCATTTTCATCACGATTTTAAAATGTGTTACTAAGGAAAGATTTTCACACTTTATAAAAAATATTTTATTTTCAATTAATATGGAACTTCACAATCCACCCCCTTTAGTTTAGCGGTCTAACGTCCTTACTAATTACACCGTTCGATATCTAACTCTGATACCATTTATAACAGTCCAAGTTCACTACTAGCAAATATTGTCCGTTTTAATCGGTTACGTAACACTGTCAGTCTCACGATTTTTTCACACCTTTATGAGAAATGATTTGTTTCCCTCTCCAACTAATACGGGACTTCATAGAAACTTTCATTCATGCAACGTTATCATCCATGTCAATTAATCGTTGGTGGCTTCATTTTTTTATGCCACGACTTTATTTTCTTACCTTTGAAATTGGATACATTGGAAATGGGAGCAATTGTTGATTGGTACAACATCTATTGTTCTTCCTATATAAGATCATTAAAACAAATTGGTTTTTCTACCTAATGCACTATCGAGCTATAATTGTGGTAAGTGTCACATTGTTTACCGAATAGGTATCTAAATTTTGTTGAGATGAGTCCGTGTTGCCTTCATTTGGTCTACCAACAAAGCCAGGTTGCTTTGGAGAAGGAAGATCTACCATTTCACTATTGAGCATTGAAATAACGGTGGAGACGTTTGGTCTATCTTTTACAAATTCTTGAACGCATAAGAGCCCTACATGAATGCATCTCAAAATCTCTTGATGGTAGCACAATTCGTATATTGTTGGTTCAATCATAGGAATAAGGTTGCCTTCCAACCACAGCTTCCATGCCTGAAATCAAGTTAAGAAGAAATTTGTATGAGACATTGAGATTTGAATGTTATTATCAACTTGTAAGTGGAGTTTTGTAGACATACGAATCCCAATAAGCTTATGGCATATTTATGGTGGTAGAAATCGGTATTTTTTCTTCCACTGATAATTTCGAGCAATAGAACTCCAAAGCTAAATACATCTGATTTCTCCGAAAAATGACCTTGCATTGCATACTCAGGAGACATATATCCACTATATTAAATAAACACACCTGAATGACTTTCTTTTAGCTGCATAAAAGTACGTAATCAAATTACTATAAAATGATGAGAAGTGTACTTACTAAGTTCCAACGACTCTTACGGTATTAGCCTGAACTTTATTGTCACAAAAAATTCTTGCCATACCGAAGTCTGAAATTTTAGGGTTTAAGTCTTTGTCTAGTAATATATTACTTGCTTTCAGATCTCTATAAATAATTTTCAATCTTGAATCCCTATGAAGATAAAGGAGACCTCGAGCAATTCCATCGATAATATTGAATCTCTTCCTCCAATCCAAAATTTTTTGTTTTCCAGAGCCTATATATGTATGGATTTTAGTTTTGGTTAGTGAATCAACTACGAACACAACAAGAACTTTGTCAAATTATCACAAATATCTTACCAAAGATTAACGCATCCAAGCTAAGGTGGGGCATGTACTCATAAATCAACATCTTCTCTTCTCCTTCGATGCAACAACCAAAGAGGCGTACAAGATTTCTATGTTGTAGCTTAGAAATCACCTTCACTTCATTCATAAATTCTTCGTACCCTTGGTTGGAGGCTCTTGATAGCCTCTTTACAGCTATTTCTTGTCCATTTAACAGTTTTCCCTGTTGAAAATTACCCACGATCGAAATAGTAGAAACAAGTAATGGAAGCGGAAGAATAATTTGAGGGGAGAGAGCTTTTGAACCGAAGAACTTTAAGCACTTATGATTTATTAATTCTTTTTTTAGTTGGGTAAATAGCATGCTTCTCATGAGTGTTTATAGTGGAGATTGCATAATCGATTTCGTAAACTTTCAAATCAATAACTACTAAATTTTCGTAATCGATCTCCTAAACTTTCAAATCAATAACTACTGAATCTTCCTAATTGGTCTCGTAAACTTTCAAATCAGTGACTACTAAATTTTTATCCTAAAATCGATCTAGGTTAATAAATACTAAATCAATCTTATTAACTAACAAATAAGACATATTTTCATTAACGGATGTTCTTCTCATCAATATCAAACTAGAAAGAGAGGAGATTTTGATATAAAAACTACCTACCTTATAGACAGGACCAAAGCCACCTTGCCCAAGCTTGTTACTAAGAGCAAAATTGTTTGTAGCAATTGCTAGCTTCTCAGTATCATAAAAGGGTACCTCTTCAAGTTTGATATCATTCCCAATCATATCATCCTCCCTTGTAAGTTTCAAACTCTTTTGTTTTTCCTTCTTTTCTGTTGTAGGCCTCAAATAATTTAATGTGAGTTACGTTTGGATTGACAAATATAGGAGTAATGTAATCTTTTGGGTTACCTTGTTTGTAAGTCTTCCATTTACACCAAACAAATACGACAATCATGAAGATGACAAAGGTCGTCGGTAGCACGATTGCTGTAATAGTTCCTTTCTTGTTATTTACATTATCTGTGAAGGAAGGAGATAATGCAAAATTTTAGATGGAACAATATTGTAATAATTCAAGCCCACTCGAGAGAGGTTTCCACACTCTTATAAGGAATGTTTCGTTCACCCCTCCAACCGATGATGTGAGATTTAACAATCCACCCCCCTTGGGGGCCAGCGTCCTCACTAGCACACCAATCGGTGTCTGACTTTGATATTGTTCACTTTGACTCGTTAAGTATAGTCGTTAGCCTCACGATTTTAAAACGCGTATACTAGGGAGAGGTTTCTATATCCTTATAAGGAATATTCCGTTCCTCTCTCCAACCGATGTGGGATCACTTTGGCTCGTTACTAATCGCCGTCAACCTTACAGTTTTAAAACACATATACTAGGAAGAGGTTTCCCCACCCTTATAAGAAATGTTTCATTCTCCTCTCCAACCGATGTGGGATCTAATAATCCACCTCACTTAGGGGCCAACGTTCTCGCTGGCACACTGCTCGGTGTCTGGCTTTAATACTATTTATAACAGCCTAAGCCCACCACTAGCAGATATTTCCCGCTTTGGTCCATTACATATTGCCGTTAACCTCACGGTTTTAAAATGCATAAAATAAGAAAAGGTTTCCACATCCTTCTAAGGAATGTTTCGTTTCCCTCTTCAATCAATGTGAGATCTAACAATCCACTCTCCTTGGGGGCCAACATCCTCGCTAGCACATTGCCTAGTGTCTAGCTCTAATACCATTTTTAACCGCTCAAGCCCACCACTTGCAGACATTATCCATTTCGGCCCGTTACGTTTACCTATCAGTCTCACGATTTTAAAATGCATATACTAGAGAGAGTTTCCTCGCCTTTATAAAAAAATGTTTCATTCTATTCTCCTCTCCTACTGATATGGATCTAACCTATGTAAAGAAAATTAGTGGTAGAAGTTTAGGGAGAGTACATACTTGAATGATCTAATTCTCCATAAGCCATTCGTAGGTAAAGATCAGCTCCACCCATCTCAAACTTTTGCATATCAATTAACTCCTCCCTTCTCCATTGCATACAACGAAGACCATCTTCATAAGCATAAGCGTTACACGAGCAATTGTTCAAGCACTCTTCTCTACATATATCTTCCGAATAAGAAAGATTAGACCATTCAGCAAAGTAGGGCACTTTAACCCTTTCAACTTTCTGAAACCCATCTTCTTGAGCAGCACCATTGTTCAACCTCTTACATTGCAATGGCATCCTCCTAACACATCCACCACTCCAATTCCCTTGCTTCCACTCCTCCTCATGCCTTGGCTCAAACCCTCTTAAACAGCTACAAATTGGAAACGCTTTGGGATTACAAACCCCAAATGCCCCACAAACACCATAGTAATCACACTCTGTTTTAAGAGACATCCAACTAACATCCCAATTCTTCGTTTGAGTATTCCAATGCATTTTCTCCAAATTCCCTTGCGAAGTTAGTAATACATAAGCAAACTCTTGAGTACTAAACTCATGTGGAATTGATAGAGTGTAAGTTTGTTCTTCAATTACAAGGTTGAACCCAGAGAGATAAACAGAGTCCATTTCGGGTACTCCGATGAATGATTGACCATTCCATGGACCAGATCTCCAATAAATGTTCCGACCATTCCAAATTACAGCTTCGGGGAAATTAAAAACTTCCATTGCTAATGAAAAACTCCCCATAAATGGATTAGAAGGAGAAGCCCATGAGGTAATCTTGACGCTCTGTTTGGTTCTTGTGTTCGTGGTGACTTTCATGGAAGTCAAGAATTTATCAGATGGGTGTTTGAAACTCTCCCATATGATCTTCCCAGAAGTTGAATTTTCCAAAACGAGGTTGCCTGAATCCAAAATTCGGGCGATTGAATCTGTGTTTGTTGTTGTTGAAGAAGAAGATGAAATGTTTGAAGACCACAAAACGGTGTCGTTTTGATCCAACACGACAAGATTCCCATCCTTGGAAATCGTGAAAATCCCCGAAGTATGATTGAGAGGGTTGTTTGCATTAGCTACCCATACGACAGTTTGTAAGGGGATTTGGTTGTACCAAATTCCGACATATCGGGCGGTTGAATTGAGTGGTGAGAAGAAGCCTAGCTCGAAGGAGCTTCCATTGGATGATATGGTAGCTGGGTCTTTGATGAAACTTGTTGATGTGATCGTATCTTTTCCATAGCCAAATCTTGAAGCGAAGCAAGTAAATGAGAGGAGGAGGAGAAGAAGATGACAGCGACGATATGAAAATCTCGAGCTAATCCTTCTAGTTGCCATGGATCTCTCGATCATCATAGTTACTGAACAAATTAGTATGTAAAAAACAGACTCTCGTTAAGAGGAGGTTGTCAACCTCACAAAGTCATCCAATTCAGCTCATTCTAGTCGGTTTTTTTTTTTTTTTTTTTGTTTGTTTGTTTAAGTAAGGGTTGAAGATTATTTTTTTTATACAATAAAAATGTAGCGATGTCCATCGGGTAGGTAGGAATGGGAAGTATTTAGGGTTTAGGGTTTAGGGAAGTATTTAGCGATGTCCATCAAGCCTACAAGCAAAGTGGTCGAGAGACCAATCTCATTCGATTTCTGCACCTTCAAGGAACATTTCTACAAAAGACCACGAAAGTTAAAAGGAGTTCTACAACTTCAAATTTTAATATTACTATATTGTCTTTGTTAAGTGACCTTATCTAAAAGTCTTAGAATGGATATGCGGGGGTATTGACTTGGTATTCGGTGGAAATGGCTTCGAAGTTTCATAATATTTAAAATTTTCTTTCCAAAGAAAACTATGTATTGAACTGACAATATTATATACCAATTTCGAGAAAAACTAATACAATATGCCATTGACTTTTTTTAATACAAATAAATTTTGAGTATGATAAAATTTTAAGAAATGGATCAAATAGTGAGTTTATTTTTTAAAAGTTAGAGCAATTTTTGATTTCTTGATTACCGATCAAGCAGAGTGAGAATAAAGAAGTCTTTTTTTGTTCTCATTTCTATCCACACGTCCTTCGAGTAAGCAAATGAACAACAACAATATGATAACATACCATTAATTAGTAGTAACAACTAGTCGTACTCGCCCCTGTTACATTATGAGCCAATTTAACTCTAAAATGTCTAGCATAAAAAATGGTAAAAAAGTCAATGTGCCAACAAAATACAAGGAAAATGGATATTTATGCTCGAAAACAAAAATACAAGCATGACCATGACACTTTCTATTACTTAATTGTTTGAAGAGTTACTAACTTCAATATTCAATGCACTCACAATTGATTTTTGCACCAAGTTGTTTTATCCACTTGACAAAGAATTTGTGGCACACGAGTAAAGGAGGGATACATGAATGAACCAAAATAGTATTCGAATGAGAGCAATCTTGAGGATAGGATGACTAAGAAAAACTTAAAGTAAATGAAATTTACTACCTTTACCAACAATATGCATCTTTCTTTTTTATGGCTCAGTTATAGAAATTGTGTTGGTCCGTAGGGATAGTCTTTACTCTTAAGAAGCAAGAATCAGATAACGTGACCCTTACTAATCGAAATAGATGAAACTCCTCTGTGCACGCCTTCAACACTTGCCTCACAATTTGAAGACCTTGCAAGGCTAGCGTCTCAATGCCAATTGTAGGGTCTCGATGTTCTATTTGCGAAGTTTTTGGCTTGTTTTGTGCATTTTGGAGAGTCCCAATGCTTTCCTCACCGGCATTTTGGCTTGGTCTCGATATTCTCTATTGTGCCACAATGCCAAAACCTCGCAAAGCTCTAATATCACTTGTTGTGGTGTAATGTCACAACCTTCAAATCTCTGATACTACTTATTGTGGCATATAATGCTACAACAAAAAATAGTTTGATATCTAATTGTTGCAGCGGAATGTCACAACCAAAATGTTATGATACCACTTGTTGTGCCCAAATGCCACAACCAAATTGTATTGATACTCAATTGTTGTAGCAGAAGTAGAAGTAAAATCGTTCGCAGTCACACTGTCATATGACTCCACATGACTCTCATAACTTCACTCCACATGACTCTCATAACTTCACATCTCAAAACAATGCTACACACTTGTTCCACGAAGTTGGTCTATCTGTGTCGTTTCTATTCAACGAGCTCTTGCTACTTCATGACACTCCACACTTGCCCATCTTTCACTTCCTCGATTGAATACGTTGAAGGACATTTCGCACATCGATACTTCTAAAGCTAATCACGTTCTACCATGTGATCTTTGTCTGCTACCTAAGCAATTTGTTCTCGTAGATGAACAATTGTTAGAGATTACATTTCATGACGAAAAGGCTGAGCTCAATCCATCATTAAAGATATGAACATAAGTTCTACATTCAAATTTGTGGGAGAAGTTTGAAATCAAAACACGAGTTTCAGCTCAAATATTATATCACTGTTCGAGTCAATGACTAATTTTCCACCAAAATCAATCGTGCTCATCCACCTTCCAAGTTTCACTCATTACAATAAAGGGTCAAAGCTTCGTGCAACGAAATAAGAACTTGAAAATATGACTCCCACCAGCAATCTCTTATCTTCCCTCTTTTTCTTCACACTCATACCTCTGTTTTCCAGAAACTCCATAGCAGACGATACCTTAAAACAAGGCCAATCCATTAACGATACCCAATCAATTGTCTCCGCCGCCGATATATTTGAATTGGGATTCTTCAGTCAACCCCAAGCCACTAATTTGAAGTATTTAGCAATATGGTACAAGGGCGTCGTTCCCAAAACTGTCGTTTGGGTGGCAAACAGAGATACCCCTGTTTTAAGCTCCTCTGCCACTTTAAACTTCAGAAGAGATGGAAATTTGGTTCTTATGAATCAAACAGGCGCAGCTTTTTGGTCGTCAAATTCGAAAAAATCACTTCAAAATCCAATAGCCCAGCTGCTCGACACTGGAAATCTGGTTTTGAGAGATTCGAAATCAGAAGATTATGTGTGGCAGAGTTTTGATTATCCGACTGATACTCTGTTACCGGGTATGAAAATCGGGTGGGACTCCAAAACGGGTTTGAATCGAAAGCTAAAATCATGGACAAGTTCAAACGATGTATCGTCGGGGGAATTCAGTTTTAGCCTCAACACAAATGGGCTTCCTCAATTCTTTGTTCATAAAGGAAACAGAACAATGTTTAGAGGTTGGCCTTGGTTCGATCATGATTTTGGGCAGAGTTACGGTAATGGGTTCAATTACGATCTTGTCTTTGATGCTTCAACAGAGATATCCTTTTCATATAACGATTCAGCGCACAGCCGTACGAGAATTGTGATGGATTCAAGTGGGTCAATTCTTCGGCATGAATGGAACGATGTGGGAGAAAAATGGCGCAAAGCATACTCATTTGATGGAGCTGGCTGCAATGACTACGATTTGTGTGGGAATTTTGGTCTCTGTAATCCCGCAGTGACAACAAGTTGTGGTTGTTTATATGGGTTTGAACAAATCTCAGCACAAAACTTGTCAAATGGGTGCGTGAGAAGGGATCCAAAGATCTGCGAAGCTGGAGATGGGTTTATAAAGATAAGCAAAGTGAAATGGCCTGATTCTACAGGGGATTCGGTGAAAATGAAACTGGGTGTTAAAGATTGTGAGGCAGAGTGCTTGAAGGATTGCGGTTGTTTAGCGTATGGAACAGTGCAAATTCCTAAAATTGGGCTTGCCTGTGTCAATTGGTTTCACAAATTGGTTGATATTCGTTATGTTCCTGATGTTGGGTCGGGAGATGATATCTATGTGAGAGTTGCTGCTTCAGAATTAGGTATCTGCTTCATACTTTTGCATGAACAAAGCTGAGTTGGGTCTGATTGTTTTGCTCTGTTTTTGCGTTTTGAAGAATCGGCTGATGAAAAGCGTAGTGTTGCAGTGGTTGTTGCTGTGCCGATTGTATCAGTGATGGTCTTTTTGGGTTTGATTGGCAGTTGGATTTTCATTAGGAGAAGAGCTAGAGGTAAAGCCTTGTTCCTCCTCTTTTTCACGATCATATGCTTTGTTAGGAACCACGAATCTCCGCAATGGTATGATATTGTCCACTTTGAGTCTCCCCTCGAACAGAGTACACTATAAAGTCTCCCCTGAGGCCTATGGAGCTCTCAAATAGCCTCCCCTTAATCGGCTTGAGTCCTTCTCTGAAGTCCTCGAACAAAGTACACCATTTGTTCGACACTTGAGTCACTTTTGACTACACCTTCGAGATTCACAACTTCTTTATTCAACATTTGAGAATTCTATTGACATGGCTAAGTTAAGGGTATGACTCTGATACCATGTTAGAAACCACGAATCTCCACATTGGTAAGATGGGTCCACTTTGAGCCTCCCCTCGAACAAAGTACACTATAAAGCCTCCCTAAAGCCTATGCAGCCCTCGAATAACCTCCCTCCCCTTAATTGAGGCTCGACTCCTTCTCTAGAGTCCTCAAACAAAGTACACTATAAAGCATCCCTTGATGGCTATGGAGCCCTTAAACAGCCTCCCCTTAATCGAGACTTAACTCCTTCTCTAGAGTCCTCGAACAAAGTACACCCTTTGTTCGACACTTGAGTCACTTTTGACTACACCACACTTTCGAAGCTCACAACTTCTTTATTCAGGATTCTATTGACATGGCTAAGTTAAGGGCATGACTCTGATACCATGTTAGGAATCAGAACTCTCCACAATGGTATGATATTATCCACTTGAGCATAAACTCTCGTGGCTTTGCTTTGAACTTCCCTGAAAGTCCTAGATGTATTCTTTACTTATAAACCCATGACCATTCCCTAAATTAGGCAACGTGGGATTCCTCCTCATTTTCACGATCACGATCATATGTTTAGTTCTATTACCATTTTTGTGATTTGTTGCCAAATCTCATGCAGGTAACCATGAAGTTCTAATAGTTCCTCCAATTCAAGAACATGAACTAGAGATACCCATTGGCGTTCTTGAGGCAGCTACTGAAAATTTCTCTGTTTCTAATAAGATAGGAGAGGGTGGTTTTGGATCAGTTTACAAGGTGCTCTTTAAAACATTCCCTAATCTTCAATAAGTTCATGTTTTCTTTCGTTTAATACATGAAATTTCTTGCAGGGAAAGCTTCCAAATGGGCAAGAAATTGCAGTAAAAAAGCTAGCAGAAACATCAGGTCAAGGGTTGCTGGAGTTCAAAAACGAGGTCCTTTTCATTTCTCAGCTTCAACATCGAAATCTTGTCAAGCTTCTTGGTTTTTGCATCCACAATGAACAAATTTTACTCATTTATGAGTATTTGCCTAACAAAAGTTTGGATTGTTTCATATTTG